TGACGATTGCTGAACCCCACAGTGCACAGCTGCCATGATACAACAAACCTGATAAAAATCTGTAGTATGAAAGATCAAATAATTAATATGCTAAGCAATTTGCAGCAAAGCTCCTGCAATGTAAAGGAGAAAGGACACCTGTACAGCAACCCTATCATGGAACGATTATGATCAGCTATTTTTCATGTATCCTAGTGTTAATGATCAAAAATAAGATTGATATTGTCACCACAGAAAATGTCATAACACCGCTGCATTTTACATGACCTTTTAGAAAGAATGGATTTATGATTAGAACACACAGTACATTTTATTTCAGACTGGGAAGAGAATGCTCATCACTCACTGTACACCCTGCTCCTCCAAAGAGAATACACATGGAACCTATTCTGGGAAAACCAGTGTGCTATTTATGCAATGCCTCCCACATGCATCCTTGTTACGTTTTCACAACAATGATTTGCAGTTGCTCTGTCACCTAGGTGGTGTTTAAGGAAAAGTATATCCTTGAGATACAAAATGCTCCTGCTGGCAGCCTTGGTTCTTCTGAGCTGTCCATTCAAAGTCAGGACTGCAATCAGGCTCAGTCTTTTTCTGGTTTATAGTGGGTGCAATTTACAGCAATCTCATTAGAAAGGATGGAGTAAACACAGCATAAGACAGGAAAGACAGTTCCCCATTCAGTGCCTTTGTGTGTTACTTTAAAATATCTGTATCACTCATGCATACTGTAAAGATTAATAGCCCATTTAAAGCAATACATAGTGAACACTGCATTGTTGAATGATTAAATTTGCTGTAGTTAACATAGGCTGGGCCCTCCCTGATTCTGAACCAATGATATATTATATTAATCTGGCTAGTTACTGATACTTATTATTATTACTTATTATTTAAGTGAATATTTATTAGGGCAACGAATATTTCTTGCGTTTGATCAGTGGTAGATAATTCGATGAGTTCGAATTAAACGAGAATTACAAGACGCTTTAAGCAGTTTGCAGCAAACGAATATATATGCAAAGGGACTACTTTCATTTATGAGGGAAAATCGCCGGTTTTAGGATTCTGCACACTATGCCCCGGAGTTGGTAGTATTTTGTATTTCTTCTTTTTTCAAGCTTTCCTATTGTTTCACATGACGCCACTGTCGCTGTCCGCAGCAGGGGGTGCTGAACTGGGTGCTCAAGGCCTCAGTGGTTTATTCATTCGTACATTCAAAAGAGAATTGAAGATATGAAGCAACCGATGTGTTTAAACACATACACATATCAGGACAGCATTGGTGCAACATTTAAGTTACCTTCCTGTTCAGGAAGACAAAAATATAAATCAAAGGAGAGACATTTAATGGTGTCAGGCGCGAGTTGCAGTGATTTCTAAAAAGGAGTAGATTGTTAAGATTTGCTGCTGTACGAATACAGCCTTTTAAGAGGAGAAGTGATTTATGGGCTCTTGAAACAGCGAGCTGGAAAGTCATGCTGCCTACCCAACGTCTTAATTACAATTTGCCTTAAGACATTAAAACACGCTACCGAAAACGCCGGAATATTGTCGCGCAAAACAAATAGTTTCGTTTCACTGGTTTCTGCATAACAATCGGAACAGGGAACCAAGCGTTTGTTTTTGTTTTTTTTAAAGCCGCTTCAGAAACGCCGAAAAGAGAAATGTAATTGTTCTGACCAGCACCTTTACTAGTTTTACGGTCGATTCAGATCTTTTAGTCAAATATGCCCCATAGTAAGCTACAAAAGTGAAGCATGACGCTTTATTAAGTCATCGTTTCTCGTTTGTAGTTCTCTTAAACAAGTCGGACTGAGGGCTGTTTCATTGCTGAGGCATTCTGTTTTATATTTACCAGCAGCTCTCTTAGATACACCTTTCCAAGCATCGCCATACTAATTTGATTCGGAATTATTATTATTTTTTAATTAAGGGTCCTTAATTAAAATGGAACACTACGTAAGTAGTTATAGGAGCGTTATAAACACGAACATTATAAGAACACTAGTTTCTCCACTCGAAACAAGGTGTAAGATCTCCAGTGACCCCACTCCCCCCATACAAACACATGTAAACACTATTAGGGCGACAGAGCATCATCCACGTCTTTAATCACACCTGAGCTTCCGACCTTCAGGGCGTGTTTAACACCCCGAAGCGTGAGCAATTGGGATCAGAGCACGGCACCTGTTAACACATGCACTGTTAATATGATCATGCGTAACACTCGTTTCCAACCCTGCCCCAGAGTGAGGTGGGTTTAGGAGGTTACGAAAAAACGCTAAAAAAAAGGCAGGCTGAGCTTATTGATGGGAAATCGTGAGTTTAGCGAACTCCCAGGCGTTGACGTTCGATGTATTTTTCATTGGTAAACACATGAAGGGTGAAGATGGGAAAGGTTTATGTAATCTAAACAAAATAGAAAAACGGTCATAGAAATGGAAACTCGCTGAGAAACGTGTCCCCTCCCACTCTCAGCACAGTCTCACCGCCTTTGTAAGCAATATAAATATTTATCGGTTTATCTCAGGTCTGCGGGAAGAAGACTCAAAAGAGGCGACGACCGCTGACGTCTGTTGTCGAGTGAGTCAAACCTGCGTCAGGTTCAGTGTTACTCTTCTGTAATGAACCACCCCCTTATAGGATTCTGGAAATATATATATAGTCCATATGTCTTGTGCTATAACCTGCAATGAAAAAAAAAAACTCTGACGCGCTCCTCTTAAATACACTGGCCTAGATTTAATATTGTATTCATCCCTTTAAAAGAGATATCTTACAGCAAACGTGTTTTCCATGTTAAAAAATAGTTGGGAATAAGTTGAGCTATTATTAGCTATTAATAACCAGGCAATGTGATCAGCCAGGCTTCTGCGTCAGACTCTACGCTCGGCTCTCTGCATGCGAATCGCTGCTGTGATGTTTTTGCATCCTTGTGTGTGCACAGAGACCAGACGCCAAGCTGATGTCTGTGTGTAAGCAGACGTCTCGCAGAGCCAGCTCGCTCTTTTTCGTTCGTTCTTATTAATTTCCGCCATTATTTCTATATTAACAAATCAGAGGGATAACCTTCCCAACTACGGATAAGGTAAGGAAGACTTAGGAGAGGAACGATCGCACGTTTCTTGCACTGTAGCTTTACCCGAGAAATCAGCCCGTCTATCATCGCATTTCTTAACGGTGTGTCGCCATCGTTCTGTATTTATGTCTTTGTTTCTCGTAAAAAAAAAAGACATGAAACGATGTCTATTTTAATCTCGGATGTTATTGTCCGGATCTCGCCCCTGTTGCTAAGTAACCAGGGCTCAGCATCACCTTGTCTAAAGAAGTAGTGCTTTCTCCGTGTGCGTAGCCTTATTTAAGAGACTTGTCAATGCGTCCCTGTAGTTGAGCCGTCACGACGATCTTTACTTTTGATCTCGTAATATTACAGATGGGCTGAGCATTGATAGTTTCGAGAAGTATTAGTTTTGAAAGAGCAGCATTATCATCAATGGATCGCGCTTACCTTGATGCTAAAATCGGTTGAGAAACCGCGTAAAACAAGAACACATTCCTTTTATGCAAAGTGCTAGACCGTTGCAATATTTTCCTCTCTCTTTGGGTACATACTGCTGAGTGTATTTGGAATGACATGTCTACCTTTCATTATTAATGAGTTGCGGGCTGGTGTGACCTTGAAGACAATTCACGGTATGCTATGGTGTTTTTGAATCACAGCTGTTAGCATGAGGTAACGTGTAAAAGTAAAAGAACATGTACATGCTAATTATTAACTAAAATGAGTCATTATGATGACGGATCTGTGCTTTTTCGTGACAATCGGACCCCAGAGCGAAGGATAGACTCATTTCGTCACTCGCCCAGCGTGTTAAGCTCTGAAGCTCTGGGGTCGGACGACATTGTGTCGATAAGATCCAGGCAGTTATTAAGATGACTGTAAAGTAATCTGTCACAAGCGCATCCACTGTCGCTCTTCGTTTCGTTTTAAAATCCGTGCGCTGTCTTTGGCCTGCAAGTTGTCTCGACAATCCGTTAAGCAGCAGCAGAAATCTTTTTGAGCTGCACAGATGCTATTTCACTACAGATTGAAGCAAAACATAGTGTAAAAACATTATACTCTCCACATACAACTAATTACAGTGTATCCCTTTCAGCATCTCGCCCCACGCGTTTTGTCTTTAGAGTGCCGGGCTCAACACCTCGTTGGGGGGGTTAAGGTAATTTACATTAACATGGGATGCGCTGAACTGTCTTTTCCATTCAACGCTCAAAGACAAAGCCAAGCCAGCAAGGCGGCCTAGCGTATAGCGCTCGGTACCCCGAACGCATCATTATAACCAGAAGGTTACGGGTTCAGATCCAGCATGAGACCTTTAGATAGCTCCAGGAAAATTACTTTCAGACAGAGAAGAATCCTTCACCACGCACCATAGCGCCTTTGACCTTAAATTAATTAGCCACCTTGCTACACTTCACTTAATTAGGTTACCGTCTTAGTGAAAAGACTATTGCATTACGCCTGTAAATCAATTAGGTAACACGTCCATGAGTTATAATCCCGTTAAAGCTGTCTGAATTAGTGTAACCCCAGCACGCCCAACAACTGTATAGCGTCTAACACCAAGGGATGGGATTTTATAGGTCCTCCATTAAACCGAGTAAAGCTGTCATTTCCGAAACTTATTAAGCTGTTGTAGTCTCATAAAATATTAATTGCTGTGCAAGAATATACTTTACAAGGAAAAACACACCACCAAGCCGCCATCTTGGTGCGCTGGGAATTTGACAGACTGCAGACAGTCTAGCTTTCAGAACACACCTGCAGCTTTTTTCGAGTTTCACAGCCTATAATACGACAGATATGCTTGTTCATTACGAACAGAAACGTAGCGTTTTCCTCCAGCTCCCTTGAACCTTGAACAATTAAGTTCCTTACTGCCCATTCAGTAGCATAGCAATCGGAAGGACAGCTGTACTCCTCAATAAAGACTTACCTTTCTGAAGATTTGAAGTTATTCTGAAATACTTTATTCCAGATTTTGCCAATGCCATTTATTTATTCGCAAATCCTGAGAAGGACGCGTGCCACTTTAAATCTTTGAAGTAACGGACATTTTAGCCTTTCCTGAGGTCAGAGGTCATATCCGCTTATTTTCACAAAGTGGAGGGCTTCGGAAGTCACAACCTCCCTCTCATTTGGGGTCTTTTATAATTCAGAGGGCACGATATACAGTATAATTCCTGTTAGTCTGGAGTGATACGACTAAATAGTATTCTACAATAATTATAGTTATCATTTCTAATAAATAATTCTATAAATAACATTTGTTTTCACTACATTTTTCAATTTTTGTGTTTCATCGAGATCATTACACTGAATATTTAAGAATATTGCGATGTTTAATTTTACCAGAATTTACAGTTTGTAATATTTCTGTCGCCTTGAAACGATTAAATAAAAAAGCATCTTATATAGATGATTTTGTATACATTTTAAGTTTAACATTAGCTGCAAATAGGATTTTTGTTAAAATTGAAGGATACTGTGCTTCGTAACCCTATGAGCTACAATGGAAACCAAAAAAATGTCAACACTTTCTGTTAGATATGTAAAATTCTTTATAAAAGACGCAGGATTGAAATGTGACAAAAGCAAATTTTTTTTAAAACTACATTCTCACATGTTTTAGTAAAAAAGCTATAAGACAAAATTTAAAGTTCCTTGAATCATAGTTGTGTTCAGTATCAATGAAAAATGCTTGAAATATTGTGGCAATGATATTTTTCTTCATCTTAGGGATTTAGAAAGGATTTATTTTTTGAGCAAATGTAATTCTAAATGTGTATTTAGGCCTGTTGTCACCCTTCAGGCTATGAACAATCTTAGCATAATGTTTCACAGCAAGATTATACAGGAGCCCCACTGTTTCCCATCCCTGATATACAGTTGGATGGGGTGGACAGCTGTGATTTGCCTGGGATTGTCTGAACATGTTGCCTGTGCTTGTGCTTAGTTAAGTATTGGTATTAGTAAGGTTATCTCATTATTTTCTGCATGAAGTTCTACAACTCTCTGATGTTCAAAAGGCTTGTGCCCTGTCCACTGATGTGTGGGAAAAAATCTAAATCACTGAAAATGAGAGATAGTGGGGACATAAAATGTCCACTGCATATGATGTATTTTATAGATTCTCACCAGCAGTAACTGCCATGACCTTTCACTTATAAAATTCAGTTTTTGAAGTTGATGTACTTTTCTGGGGAAAAGGTCAGATTAAGGGGGCTCCACTCCTATATCTGCTTTTGCAAGAAATATTGGGCCTCCTGACATCTCTATTAACTTTTATATAGGGTGTGTGACCTCATTGTTTCCCAGGACCTTCTGTAATGTTTCAAAATAATTGCATTGAGGTTTATCAAATGATAAATGTGACTTTTGTATTTTAATCAGTTGCCTTACAGGAAAGACTCTCTTTTGATCAACTGCTTGAATATTCTTGCTAAATAGATGTTACTTTGAATTGAATTCAATTATTAATCAATATATGTAAATCAGCTCAATGGAAGAAGGGCTTTTATTTTCAAGGCACAATTAATCAATGCTGATTTACCAACTAGTTTTGTTTCCAAAAAAACAATTTTGATGGTTTTGCCCTGAAAAGAAATATAAAAGAGTTTTGAAACAATCTTGGGTCTTTCTCTTCTGACTTGTCCAATATCGCATTTGGCTCCTAATCAAAGATAATTTGCTTTTAGAATGAATCACAATTCAGATGTGAAATAGCCTTTGCAAATCTGAATTCAACAGGTACCAGATCTAACCTTTTTTTAAAAGAAGCACTGTCCTTTTCCTCTTATCAACAGAAGGGATGTTTTTTTTTTTTTTGCCTGCTACTTCTACATTATTAAGGATATTACAACATGTGAAAAATGTTGTCTCTGATTCATTTTGTCCTGTCTGGTCATAGTTCAAAAATGGTTATTAAGACACATCCTGTTTGCTTTGAATGTGTAAGCTTCTCAGCAAATATTCTGTTTTCAGCTGTTTGGTAACTGAGCCCACCCCTTAGAGACTCTGGTAATTATTTCTGAATTTATATAATTTCACCAGTGAGGTTAGTTCACGAAATTTATGAGAATGATTTGATAATTTAATGTACCAATTGTCATTAAGAAAAATCAACACTGTTTCTGTGATTTTACAAAAAGACAAGAAATCTTCTTAACAATGGCCATGACCACTGAGTGAACAGCTGACCATCCTCACTTGATTAAGACAGCATTACTTACAAAATTTAATGCAATTACTCAAAATAGAGAGTATTAGCTCATTCTCAGCAGTAGTACTCTAGGATGTGTTTCTGTGAGGGAAGAAGACAATATTCTCAGTACAGGATAAGCCGTGCACACTGAGTGGAATTGGCAAAGCATAATTTTGCAGATTAGGGAGGGAAGTGAGAGTTTTGTAAAGCAGGGTTGCCTAGCAACCTGACAAGATAAAAGTGGAGCATATCCTTCATAAAAGACACTTGGAATCTGATGTGTTATTTCTTCACATGCACTCCACCCGGTAAAGTAAAAATAGCTCAGGTATAAGTTGGAACATTACTTTCTTGTATTACCAGTTGATATCACACCACAATATCTGTGTCTTATCAGACCCAGTATTATGGCAGGTGAGGAGGTATATTACACATAATCATAGTGTGGGGGAAATCTGTGACCCACATGCACAGTGAGTGATGTACCTCTAGGCCTCTGCCTACTACTGACTTCATTACTGCTTATTTTCTCCATGATATTCCTGTTTTTACAAATGAGATTCCTGTAGAGTAAATTGCTTTGCTGGGAGACTTACAGACAGATTCAAAAGAAACTTGAATCCATCCAATAATTTACCATTTGTAAATTATACACCTGCTAGAAGTTTATTTTATGTGCCACCAGTTTTTTTCCTTCTTACTAATGGAAACAGGGTAATGCACACATGGTTAATAATGTGTTTTTGGTCAAGGCTCAGATTTAAACATTAATCTAAACGTTATCTATCTAAATATCATATCTAAGCATTAATATAACTCAATATAACAACAATATGAGAGAAGCCCTTTACAATGTGGACCCCAATTTTTAACATGTTAAGATGTGTCAGAGCATAAGGGTGCTTATTGTACTCACTACTACACATGGAAGCAGCACATTTTTCTTTGATTTTATGGTTGCATTGGACAATTACTAAAACCACTAGAGATACCTGGACACTTGTTTGAAAACCACTGGTCTAATGTATTGCCAGGTATGTTTTAAGACTGTTCTGATGTCTTACCAAATCATACACATGTTGACAGCATGTCTCTAAATACGAAGAAGCAGGTGATTCATGGGATGAAGCTCAGTGCACCCCAGAGAGTGAAGCAATGGATACCAAGCAGGTGATGCTAGTGTTCAGAGACCCATTACTCACATGGGTGTCCCCAATCCATCAAGGAGGTCATTTTACAGATGCAGAGAAGGTGCAAGATAAACTACATTGATAGGGCCAAGACTAGCTCAGTGTGGCCTGCTATAGAACTGCTGTGATGGGAAAATGCTGATTCAGATTAGAGCATCCCAAAGCCGCAAGCAGGGGTCAATCTGTCTTCTTCTCCATCCAAAAGCTCTGTTGCTCACAAAGCTGCAAACCTTGTTCAGAAGGAACAGGGACTAGGGAGCACATTGGTCATTTTCCCTGCCAAGACCAAGAGATAACTGTTCCTTCTTGAGAGATATACTCCAAAAAAGAGGGTCATATTGTAAATACTGCTGTACAGTTTTTATCTGAAAAGAGCTAAAGATTCATGCAATAAATGTGTATATAGACATATCCCTGTCGTAATCAGACAAAACTTCCAACACAATTTAAATCATACCACAGATAATTTGGGCACAATCCCCATAAGACAACGTCCTTCTTAAAATGGATTTGATGCCACTAGTAAATGGGCGTTCAGTAGTGGCATTCAAAGAGATACAGTACATTAGGATTACCTTATTTGGACCTGTTATTGCAGTTGTTCTATTTTTTCAACATATCAAAGAAAGAACCTTTTCCTTTTTTACTGGTGATGGATGTCTCATGTTGAATCCTTATATTTCTAAACATATTTCCTTCATTCACTTTGAGCAAAATAAACAAGAACTACAGAAGAAAGCTATGGCGTTGTTCAAACAATATTGAAAGCCTTTGACACTGGAAAGCTATTTTGCAAATGCAAAATCTCTAGTTAAAAAAAAAAATCCATATTCAGGGGTGGAGATGCATATCCTAAAGTGTATTGTGCTGTACAGTGTTTAAGATGAACAGGGGAGTTTAACACTGCAGGAAATGAAACTGAGGACCTGCTAAGCAATTTTGTTTTGAAAGAGCAGATGGCACTTTCCTTGTGGCTGCTGCAAACCAACTGCTCTCTCCTCTCTCTCCACAGCCTGTGTGTGAAGGAACGGCTATCTGTTCTAGTGCAAGGAGGTGGGGGGTAATGAAAACAGTCTGCATTTATATTTTGCAGGGGCACCTCTCCTCCCCACTGAGACAAGTCCAGTGCCAGGAGCTGGTTAATGTGCATCATTGCCAAACTGTTTGCATGGCTTGAATAGGAGTGGTGAAGACATTGTAGCTGGAGCTCCATGTGCCCACATGGCCATGTCCTTAATCCCAGTCCTTTGGGATTCTTGGCTAGATCTAGTAAAGAATCTTGTAGGATACATGTATAAGAGCTGAAAAATCCTGGGCCATAATTCATACAGATGTGTGTAAACAAACTGGAGGTTTACATTTGGAATATTTTTGTCCAGTGAAAGGAACGCAATGGAGTGTTCCCAGTACCATCCTTGGAAGAATAATGTAACCTTTTTTTTCTTTGTATGGGGATGTACTGGACACACACAGCATCCAACACGAAATGCAAGATATGCCTCTCTGACTTGGCTAATGCACAGTGAGCAAGTCTGAGGCTGGTAGACTTGGGCACTAACAACACATCTGTGTTCAGCCTCTCACGATGCTGCCTGTCTGCTGGTTTGTGTTTGGTATGGTAGAAACAATTTGAAGATGCCTTGTACATTTTCTTTCTTTGTGTTTGTGTTTTTCCAACAGATTACAAGCATAAATACAGACCCTGCAACTGGCACTCTTTAATGTTAGGGAATTTGCCTGCTACTTTGCTCATAATCCACTGGTAGGAAATTGTAAGAGCCCGTGTTCCAGTTCTCCTCCAGACTCTTTTGTATTAGGGCTTGTATACATATTTATGAGGGTCTGGTTACCTTAGTTGTCCCAAATGCCTAAGAATAGTAAAGTGACACAGCGGGAGCACAGCAATGAACATGTCACAGAGTCAGTGGCAGACCTCCTGGCTCACGAAGAGCCCCTGGACTACAAGAGCAGTGCCCTGAATGTAGGGGGTGCCGTGCAGCAGAAGGGCAAAGAGACCGACGATACTCTGGAGTCAGCGGAAGAACGCCCTGCCTGGAACAGCAAGCTGCAGTATATCCTGGCACAAGTCGGCTTCTCTGTGGGGCTGGGCAATGTTTGGCGCTTCCCCTACCTGTGCCAAAAGAATGGTGGCGGTGAGTTCAAGATTTGAGAAGCAATCAATTTTAGGAGAACAGAATACTCAGTCTGTCAGAGTTCACCATCTTCCTGTATATGGACTGGACAGAACTCAATTTTTTTTGCTCAGATACAAAACATGTTCCAAATGCCCTAAGCACAAATGAACAACAGGTCAGTTTAAGTGAAAAAAAAGCTTTTTAACTTTAGCAACACTGACACGGTTGTATAAAAAAACAACCTGGAAAGGTTATATTTCAGTGCCTGGTTGGATTTACAGAGATGCCACAGTATTATGTCTCACAGAGATAACTTGAAAATATATTCCTTGAAAATATATTTTGAATTGAATATCATAATTCAATAAGAAGTTTCCTTTTTCCTGGGCTTACTTGGAAATGACAACCAGTGTCCAAACTTTTAGATTAGTTTTAAAGGACCGGACAACTGTATTTCAGTGTTCTTGTTTAGAATTGTAGTACTACCCAGGTCAGCTGAAGAACACTGCTTTAGTATGAGCAGTTTTCATAGCTTTTAACATTCTGATGGGGGGCACGGTGGTTAATGCTGTTGCTTCTTAACACTTTCCAAGTCTTGGGTTTGGTTATGGCCTTTGGTGCCATGGGTGGTCTTTGGGTAACCCCATTTCTTCCCACCAAATACGCAGTAGGTTTTATACAGTAGGTCACTTTAAGTTGCTGTTCAACATTGCCCCATCTGGGATTTGATCACAGCCACCTTCAGTTTCAGAGCTGTGCAGTGCTACAGTGGGACAACGTAATGCTGTCCAGGTCCCGATGGGGTCAGGTCACCTTCAGTAAAAGTCTCAGAGCTCTCTTATACCTGGAGCAAGGTGCAGTCACTGTCCAGTCCCCATATGAAAGGGAGCAGGGTGCCACAAAAACGTGCTTCTCAAAGTTATTTTTGTAAATGTGAAGCAGCAGGAATACTTGGTCTCTCCAGCTGTTAGTTCCTGCCAGTGGCCAGTTCTTGTCTGACAGGAACTATCCTTCACCTGCTAATTTGTCCCCTGTTGAGCAATTAAGAGGAGATTAATGGGGGATTGATTTTCAGTGGCTATCTTCCCCTGGTTTCTCTGCTCCCCCAGATGACCCTCCATGCCTGTCAGAGAGTCTATCAGCAGTGCAGTGTGCACTATCAGGGCTGACTCAAACTAATGGCGGTAGACTGCAGGAACATGCTGTTAGACCACAGACTGGGAGATAAAGTGACTGGAAACCAAAGAAAATCATTCTGTCCTTTTTGCTCTTCCCTTTCTTCTTGCCTTTTAAGCAAATTCAATTTGGGGCAACATTGTGGTGTATACAGTGAAGAGGCTAAACTGTAAATCTCCCAACACTCGTAGGACCCAATTCACAAACTACAATTCACAAAAGCGAAGAGGCTCATAGACCCAATCAGAATCCCTGTTAAAATCCCACTCTAAATCCTAAATCCAGTCTTAGATTTGTAATGGGAATGGCAGAAAAGCAGATCCATACTTCTCTCAAAATGCCTTAGCACTGGTGATAGCATGGCCATCTAGGACTGTGACTGTGTGTATGCACTGATCCACTGATGACACTAACACCAGAGGGCTAACAGCTGTGGCTCCTGCTTCACAGATGACAGAAGCCTCTAATTCCTCTTGACAGTCCTGCAGGAGTTCCCACCTCTCCTTCACTGCTTTCAAGCCAGCAGCCCATAATTAGTTTGTAATTGAGGGTTTGGTAAACCGATTCGTGCAAGAGAAGGAGAAACTGCAGACTGCTTGTGGGTGTGTAAAGTAATGGTGGGGAAAATCATTAATTTTTCCTCCAACAGTATCGAAGGGATGAACGGGTAACACTGGAAGGATGAAACAGAATGTTTGCATCCACAGATCAGATTGTGCCCCAATAAATTCCCCCATTTTGCCTCGACATTCAGCCACAATCATTACACACACTCAATTTTTAAGGTCTGGATTGACAACAGCTTTAGCCTACTGTTTATTACTTTTAGCTCTCCCCCAGGTACATATTTCAAACAACCATTTGGTTGTATTTTTGATTTCTCAATGTTTTGCATCCTTAAGTAGCAATAAACAATAAAATATTTTCATCACAGCAACTGGAAACCAAGATGGAAATTGTTTTATCACTATATTCCCATGTGGGACACCTGTCACTGTTGCTCGATTTGGCCTCAGTGCAGTTTCTCAGACTCCTCTGACTCCTGTGCATATTTATTGTAAAGCACAGGGAGATAAAGTTAGGCACAAAACTGAGTGCAGGAAACCACACTAAAGTAAAGATAAAGCAAGGAATAAGCATGTCATGAGAGAAAAGTGGGAATGGCTTGAAAAAGTCCTGTAAAGAATTCAGAAGGGGTGATCTGTAAAAAGGCTGTAACAGGTGCAGGGGCAGTAACATGAACAGCAGCTTCCAAGCCCTCATAACCCTTTGGTTGCAGGGTATGAAAGGCACTTCATTGCACATCTGCGCAGCCTTGACACAGCCCTGCACTGGGGAGCCCTGCCCTTTTAACCTTGTGTTAAGTGCCTCCTGTGCTCAGTCTTACAGTTTAAGTGCAAAGAACAAAGGGAACAATATTAGATTTGAAAGCGACCAGTGAAGCACAGTGACTGGAACAGAAAGGGAGTGAGAATTAAAGGCACTTTATTGCACACTCTCACAAGCTTGACAAAGCCCTGCTCTGGGAGTCCTGCCCTTTAAACCCTGGTCCTCTTCTCCCCTGTGCAGGCGCATACCTGGTCCCGTACTTCATCCTGCTCATCATCATCGGCATTCCGCTTTTCTTCCTGGAGCTGGCGGTGGGCCAGAGGATCCGGCGCGGGAGCATCGGGGTCTGGAACTATGTGTGCCCAAGGCTAGGAGGAATCGGCTTCTCCAGTTTAATAGTAAGTAGGGAATTCTGAAGCAAACCAGCAGGAACATTATGACTTCTACCTATAGGTCTTTCAGAGCTGAAACTTGGGAAATGAGGAGGGCAAGAGTTTTGTGTTATACCATGTCCAGAAGGGGTGTTGGGATGCCGCTGAGTTCCAGACAAAAGGGCTTTGACAGTCTTTTCAGGAGCTCTTTGTCAGAAAGGGAACAAAAATGCAGAAATAACAGAATGGTGCATGTCTCATAGTCTGAGAAGTATTGTGAATAATGATTCCTACGAGAAACAGAGCAAACCAGCAGAGAGCTTGTTAGACATTTAAGGTAAAGTTAATAAAAACCATGTCAATCATGACAATTGAATTACAGTACTGAAATCACCATTGTCTAATCACTCAGAAAATCTGTGAATACTGCATTGCTGGTTGCTATTAGCATTGCTGGTTCTTTGGTGATCTTGTTTTTTTTTACTGTGATGCAAAGCACTCAGGGAATCACATTACAGTTAATGGGCTTGATTCCCCAAAGCCAATTATACTTCTGTTTACTAGTTTTACATTGATAAGCTTCTGGTGATAAAAAGCAAAAGGCTCATGTTTTTGCGAAGTTACTTTGCAAAGTTAAAGACAGCTACAGACAAGGTTTTATATCAAGGAAATTGATATATTTTTCTGCACTGTAGTTCCCGAAATTACATTAAACTCCTATTCCTAGCACTATAGCTTGATAGATTTAAATTCCAAGTGTATATTGAATGCAACCCACTTAACCAGATCAGTGTCCCTAGAACCTGACACAGGATATACTACAAGATTTCCCAAACTGAACCGTAGTGAAGTAGCACTCAAGGGACCCATCAGTGATTACTGCACTTCTACAGAAAAGATCCCTCCCCATTTTATTCAAAGCTGCTGAGGTGTTTCCAGTAACAGGAGATTTGATGCCACTTCCAATTATTTCAGAGCACGTTTGGCTAAGGATTTGCTACCACTTAAAAAGGGTGTGTGGACAGGTGAAATGAATGATTTCCTGTTTGTTTGAAAGTCAGATGGTATTTACTACACTGTACAGTAGATTGTCGGGTCAAAATCCAAAATAAACTCTGGTCTGTCTCTTGATTACAGTTAAAGTCTATGTTCTGCCCTATACACAACTACATCTCTGTCTCACTGTCCACAGCACTGTCTGAACTAATGCTTCAGATTTGTGGTCACAAAGACCATTTCTAGATTTTTATAACCTAATAACATTCATAACAACAATAAAACAATATCATTACAGTATTGCCATGTTATTAAGAAAAGCTTTATTTAATAATGATAAAAGCTTTGTTGGCAGATTCTTCAATGCTAATAACCTGTTTATTATACATTTACAAAGTGTTGTTTGCAAACACTTTAAACGTCTCCCCACCTGATTAAATAAAGTAGAATACAATCCACTCTAGGTAAGGGTCCCTGTGTATGTTTGGGTCCTGGTGTAGTAGCAGTAGTGGATACTGTAGCATTTTCCAGCTGTAGAAACAGCCTCTCAAGTGGAAAATAAATGACAAGGCAGTGGGGAGTGGAGGAGCTATAAATACATCTTAAAAGGATCAGTTTAGAAGCCTCTGAAAGAATAAGCTTCAATAATTCATTGAAAAATCCCCACTCCCAGGTTGTGTAGAGATCTTCTGCTGTTTTTTCTCCAACCTGGAAAAAATATTGAAATAAAACAACAAAATAGTGATTCCTTGTCACACCTTACTTTTGAAAATAAAACTGTGGAGTGAGCTTCAGTATACCTACATTCACAAACTTTGTGTTTAGTAAGCTCCTAATAGAATATATATATATACTGTAGTGCAGATGGTATCAAGGTACCATATATTTTAGACTTACTTAATAAAACTTCATACATTTCCAGTAATTCTTCATAGGACTCAGTAGAAAAGTCAAATTTATTTCTTTAGAAAAGTAAAGTGTCTTTCTTTAAAAAGGAAAGACAGGTTTATAGTTACTAGAATAATAAAACAGAATGAATAGAAAAATAGAATAGAATTCCTGAGGTTTTGCAAGATCACATATCCCCCAAATGTTCAGATGGAGTAACATAAAAGATAAGTGGCTAGGTAGTGATGTACTGTAATAAAGAGGGCTCTTAATCAAATATGCGGTATTATCACTTGTTGGAGGTTGGAATGACACTGAGTTCCAGGCAAAAAGGCTTTGACAATCTTTCAGGAGTTCTTTGTCAGAAAGGGAACAAAAACACAGAAATAACAGAGAATGGTGCATGTCTCATAGTCTGAGAATGATCATGAATAACGATGCCTATGTGAAATGGAACAAAACAGCAGAGAGTATGCAAATCTGCAGCATCATCACTTGGTGGAGGTGTCAAGGGCAAAACTCTTCTCAGTGATGTCCAGCACTCCACCCAGAAGAGCCGTGTTAGGGAACAGTGTGGCAAGATCTAATGTGGACTGACCTGAATTCATTTCTAATAATGAATCACTGAAGTGGGTGGGGTCTCCTCATAGAAACAGACAAAAGAGCATATTAGAAAAGCTGTATTCTAGATTCTCAGATGCATGGTATTTTTTTAATATGCAGGACTCGATAAATGGTTCCGAAAATCTAAAAAATGTGATGATGGCTTTTAGTTTTCCAGGGGATTTTTTTATGTATTTGGGAATGCCATCAAGAACTGGTTTTAGAACATGAAACTAACAACTACATTAAATTAACAGTTAACAGTTAACTTCTAAGCCTTTAAATTATTGGTGCCTCTGATGTGTAGCTAGACACCTTAGTATAAATAAGGGAAATCCAACTCTAACTGTAATCCTTGCCCTAACCCAAGCTGTGAAGGTGCTTTGCTAGAAACGGATGGTTCTTGTGTTGACAAAGACACCATAAGCACAAGATATGTTGTACATCTTTGTGTCCAACAGCAAAATGAATGAGTGAAATTCAATGTGATTTCAACCCATTAAAAGATAAAAGACTATTTTACAAGAGCCACGTCCAAGATTCATCCAAGGAAGATCGTTTTCTTCCAGGTGTAATTGTAACAGTATTTGCAGGGTATGCATATCCAGCTAAGGTCACATCATGGGCTGAGTGGCAGGCTGTGGGGCTTAGAAACATGTATTCTTCCTGCTGCAGCACTCATTGTCTTGTTTTCGCCAGGTGTGCGCCTTTGTGGCCCTCTACTACAATGTTATCATTGGCTGGAGCATCTTCTACTTCTTTCAGTCCTTCCAGTACCCACTGCCATGGAATGAGTGTCCACTGAAGAGGAACGGATCGCATGCCAGTGAGTGCCCCGAGCAGGGCTCAGCCTCGACAGAACACTACAGCCCTGCCAAAGCATGGCTTTCATCTGAATTAGTTAGGATAGTTTGCAACAAGAATGGCAAAGAAGCAAATAAAACAACTCTCCCACATGCAAATTGTTTCATGAAATGTAATCAGAGTGTGCAGTGCATTCCAAAGTGGTGCTGGAACATATTTCGATGCGTGGTGTCCTTCTGCCTGCCAGCAGAATTCTCATCTTGCCTTGTTTCTTGTTCACTTACAGTGTGTTGGCCCTCAGTTCTAAACACATTTGTTTTCCACTTTGTTTTTGAATATTTTGCAGCTGCCTTTTTTCTTGTTTCTAAGTTACAAAATAAAGTATTACATTTGTAATTAGTCCTTCAGCACTTTGTATTATAAAACAACAAAAAACTTGAGCTGCATATTTTGAGGGGTTCTGCAACACAGCTAATTCTAACATGATGTTTTACACTTCTTCTAAAGCAGGGGTTCTCAACTGCTGGAGGGCATTTAAGAATCCAAAGGGGGGTGTGAGACCATTTACAGTCATTCAGAATAAGTACTGAATTCTTTTACAGCATTTTACAAGTGGAAACGTAAGGCTCGCCTTCTAATCAAGCTTCTCTAAAAATTCAACATTTTAGACACAATGCCCCAAACCAGCAAATTATTCTAAAGAAAATTTGAGTTAGCAAAATCTCATAGACAAAGTCTGATCCAATCGCAGTAATTTAGTTATAAAAACACCTGTCCATCCTGGTCCCATTTGCACCCACCTGTCTGTGTGAGAATGAATTTTCTACACTTTCAGTTTTCAAAAATCAGCACTGCAAATATGCAGCATCAGAGCTTATATTGATCATGTTTGAGGCAAAATCTTAAATAAACTGAAATTCAAATGTGAATTTGGATGATACTTCCTTCAATCTGTATCAATATTTTGAAGTAAAAATAGTTTTCAACTGATTTAAGACTAAGTTAAAAAATAGTAATTAAATAGTAATTTAAATTAAATCTTTTTTTAATGTTTAAATAAAATTATTAGCCAATACACTCAGGGGGGTAGTGGTTTTGTGTTAACTGAAGGCTGAGCATTGTGTTGAGAACCACTCTTCTACAGCATGGTGTGCAGAGGTTAAATCCGTATTGTGACACACCAACAGGCAGTGCCAGACCTAAAGCTTGAAACAGGAATCCTAGTAAATTGCCTTTAGCTTTAAGCATTGTACTACTCAGCTCCATACACTTCTGAGCCGTGCTTGTCTGCAGGTGTCAAAAGTCTTGGTGTGTCCGTGTTGCAATGTCCTCCAAAGAAACTATTTCCACTGTTTGTTCTGTGCTCTTGCAATTTAAAGCCGCTTGATGACCATTTTCCTTCTTCAAATTTTAATAACAATTGGAGCCCTTAAGGGGCAACTTTGAAGGTTTTCAAAAATGAAACGATTTTATTTCTGCCCATGTGTTGTAATGCTTGTGATTCACATAAACCTGGAAGAAAACAGGCCTTTGTGGAGTACCAGATGTCTCTTAAAATGCTGGCACGTGTATTTTACATGAAACCACAATACTTTTTGTGCTAGGATTAAGCCTGGATGCAATGTGAAGGTTTTGCTGCTAATGGCGATATACAAAAGATGTTTGCCCACTTTCCATAAGACATGAATGTTAATTTATCCCAGTAGTACTCCCTAAGCAATACACATATAAGTGCTTATGGTTTTTGTTCTGCACAAAATCAAATCAAATTCCCTGATGGTTCAGGGAAGAACAACGTGTTCTGAGTTTTCAAGCCCTGGTAAATGCTCTTAGACTTTCAGCCACAACAAAGTCATCTGAAAGCACATGAAAATGGAAAGGTGTTCTTTTCAAAATCATTAAATTTCCACCCGTCCTGGGTCAGAATAGTTTGAATATATCACCTTCTAGACCGAGGCATAAAATAAGAGATCTCCTGATACTCATTGATAGAAGGAAAGATGTGAGTATTTAGGCTCCTCTGGGTTCAAGCTGATTCTGTACGTCTGGTCTGTGCTGTAGAGAAAGGGCATGAAGGCTGGCAGTCCTGCTTTTACCCACTGATACTCTGTATCTGGATTGAAAAGCTGTTTTCTCACCTCTGCTAGTGTCAAAGCACATGACAGGCTCACTCCCTGGAATAAGATACTCATCACTGTCGCCTCACCAGCGCAGCAGTCCGAGCATTGTGATATCATGGCCATAGGCTCACGGATATGACAGATGGGCACGATAAAGCAGTCCAGCTAAACAAAGCTCAGTGCAGTCACAGGAGGTGGTGTGATCGGGCCCGCTCCAAGAGCTTAACCCCCACACTCCCCCAAGGATGCTGCTGGTCCCACCTCTCAGAATAACGGAAACAATGCTTCATATGGTTACTTTATTGCTGGAATGAATATAACAAAAAAAGGGGGTGTCCTCTCAAGTATTCAGAAAATGAATGAGGAGAAACCCCATTAGACAGCAGTCTCACCACCACTAAAAGACTTATTAGCCCCCACCCAGCATCATCCCCTGTGGCTGGAGATGAGCCAGATGCTTATACAGTATATTAAACAACACCATACAGCAGTCATCACCAAATCCATATTTAAACATGCTAAAAGTCCTTTGGTATTTACAGTATTTAAGTAAACAAAATGCATTTAGCTTGTTTTTATGCTCAAGTAAAATGACCAGGCCTTACAAGATAGTGCTGAGGAAGAAGCCAGCCAGCCATGTCTATATGACTCAGGCATGTGTTTCATCACCTAATTTCATACACTTTCATCCCTGTCCCTCTCCATTCCTGTCTTTCCTTCTGTCTACAGTCGTGGAGCCTGAGTGTGAAAAGAGCTCAGCTACCACTTACTTCTGGTACCGCCAAACGCTGAACATCTCCAGCTCTATCTCAGACAGTGGGGGTCTCAACTGGAAGATGACTGTTTCTCTACTGGCAGCCTGGTGTATCGTGTGTCTGGCTGTCATTAAGGGCATCCAGTCCTCAGGAAAGGTGAGCAGAACTCGTATCAGACCACTATAACCTGTGAGCAGAGTGGTGGGCTAGCGTTTCTTCACTGGTAGCCAAAGTAGAGTGTGATGATCGAAATGCTCGAATAAGTAATTTGACAAAGTACAACCAATAAAATAAAAACAGGAGCTGAAAATGTGAAAGGGGGGGGGGATTAATTCAATTTTTAATATAAGAAAAAGCAATCTATCATGAGGTTTTAGCCCTAGCTAAATGTAATCTATTTGAATGTCTTTCCTTAAAAGCAATTTCTGCAAGTTAACAGACACTCGTGAGATTGCATCTCAGCCTCCATCCAACTTGCATGACAGATATTTAACTTGCAGTGAAATCTAGCAGCTGTTCTTCATGCCTGAAGAACAATAATTTGAGCATCTAGGACATCAGCAGACTTCCGCACTTGTCACACCTGAGAGCACTTAGTCATATATTTCCAGATGAACTCCATCACTGGACACTTGCAAACCATGTAAGTAGGTACTGAATACCTGCTGGCTTGGTTCTAGTATGACAGAGGTGGTTCTCTCCTCATATAGACCCATTAGTATGGTGTTGAGTGTATTCTATGTGCAAACTCTAATTGGATTAGCTGGTGTGCTAGGTTTACAAAGGAAGGGGAAATACTATCCTTTACCATATTCTAAGCAGGACTACCATCCGAGTCTATGATGTAATTACAATGGCACCAATTGCAAAATAGCAGGCTCAAATACAATGGTATGTGCTATGAACCTGTTGAGGGAAAACTGAACACTTTCACTTTGTTTTGGGAGGGGTAATGTTAACACACCAGCTGTTCTGCGGAAACTGAATAGGGCAACGTGATGTAAACAAGCAGCCCTGTCCATGTCTCTGCCCAGAAGGCCATGGTTGCTTGAGGCATGCAGAGCGCCACCTAGGAAGCACTTAGGGAGTTGGTGTGGATCCAAGCCCCTGTCACCAGGGGAAGGCTGATGAGCCTCCTGTGGCTCTGCTACCACAACGAAGGGAAAGCCACACTGTTTTCTGGAAGCATGTGGGCCAAATTTGTACTGTTTAATCCCCCCGGCCCACATTTCTGTGGTAGGAAAAGCACTGATGTTTTGACAGATGTTATGTTCACTGAATACTAAACAGATGACAAAAAAATTCTAATTCTTCCATGGAGAGCAGTGTGTTATAGTTTGGTTCAATTTACATAATCACCAGCCCTGGCAGAATCTGTTCAGAAACTAATTCCTTTTTAAATATGTCAAAGCTGGATGCTTTGATGTGATCTTACTGTAGTAATCAGTCTATCCCTCTCTCAGGTGATGTATTTCAGTTCCCTGTTCCCCTACGTGGTGCTGATCTGCTTCCTGGTGCGGGGACTGCTGCTGCGTGGGGCTGTGGATGGCATCGCACACATGTTCACTCCCAAGGTCAGAAACACAACATAAAGCCATGTCGTTATCACATTATCACATAGTGTACTAATACACAAATGTCTGACCTCTACCTAAGTGATCCAGTTAGTATCTTGCTGTAGTTACCTTGCTGCATCTCTTTTGTAAGCATAGGATCAGGTACAGAAAATAATCTACTGCTACATAAACTGATATCTACATCCACTATCAGACAAATGGGCAGTCCTGTTAAGGGTCAAGGAAATCCAGAGGCTATCCTGGATACATAGGGTGCAAGGCAGGGCTAGATTTTGGATGGAACGCTATTCTATTGCAGGGTTCAGACATACGTACACTGAGGGAAAAATCAGTAAAACAAATGAACCTAGTCAGCGTGTCTTTGAGGTGAGAGCAAACCGTAGCATCCGGAGAAAGCCCACATGAACATGATGAGAATATGCAAACTCTGCACAGTAGGAGCTCCAGTCTGAAGTCGAACCCAGGACCCCAAAAATGTGAAGAGAACAGTACTAACATCAATGTCACCATATTCCCCAGTATTTAAATATTTATAATCCCCTTACAGTCAGAACTCAAGAGTCACGTGTTTACATTTTTCTTTGCTTCTGCGGATTTGCAATCTGTGCCAAAAATGCAGGATCTACTGCACAATCCGTCATTGAGCTCTGGAGGCTTCTGCACAGTCCCAGCAGAAACGATGGATGCTGTCTCCCTCTAGTGGAGCCTCTTCACAGCTTTCAGCCACTTTCCATTCCTCTCTGTGGAAGCACGTCTACCGAGCCACTGACGCTCATTTCTAAGCAAACTGTCATCCAGGTGAAAGGAGAGGTAGAAGACAGTGGTTTTCAAGGATTTGAACTGAGATCGTCTGTAGGAAGAGCCAGGCCTTGAGTGTCATCATATCCTGCCTAGTGGTTTTTGTTTAGATCATTCATTCATAATCCTCATTCGTCATTAGAGCTGCATGAAACCATTATTCAATTTTGGGATTGTGTTTCCTGGGAGGGAGTAGAGAGGCACCAATTGAGGGGATTAACATTCAAGCTTAAGATCATCAGCAAGCATTCACATTGATAAATTAGCACAGTATGGGAAGAGATGACAGCTCACCCGCTGAGAGAGGAAAGGAATTCCCAAACATCATCATGCCTTCAGGTTTTATTCAAAGGTCCCAATACACTGAAAACATTATTTTACTTTAAACAGTAACCCTGACTCAAGAGCACAGTTAGTACTGCCTAGCAACGTAAAAATCAATACACAAACTCTCCTCATTCAATTCTATCCTTCCTAGCCACCCACCTATCCTTTATGAGAAAGTCGCTTATCCTGTTGAGGATTACAGAAAGCCAGAGCACTTCCTCAAAGCACAGCAGACCGTCTCAGGGCCATGTAGAAATGGACAATACAGAACAGCCAATGCAAACTAGGCAGATGTCTTCGGGAGGAAATTCACACAAACACAGGCGGAATAGCAGGTTCCAGACAGACAAACATCCAAGGATGGAATTGAATACAGGGCTCTGGAGTTGTGTGGCAGCGGTGTTAGGCTCTACACTATCGTGATGCCTCAGTCCATCTACTGCATATAATCAAATTATTATACAGTGCAATAAGGTCATTATAGCCAGTTTAGGGCTGCAATTGAAGCTCCAATGGAGAAGACGATATATAAGATGATAGTAAAGAAAATTGCAACTTTCACCATGTCAGTAACAACAATAAAGGACAATTGTAAATTAAGAAAGTATTACTAATTCCGTCTTTATTATTTTTGCTAGCATTGCCTCATAATATCTATATATGCAACTTAGAACGCATCTGTTGGAATTCAAAAGTTCATTTGTAAAATGTAGAGCTTTGTTTTGGGAAAGCAGATTATATTATGTCAAATTCATTTTAACAGGGGTGACAGGGGTTTCCTAATTAAATGCATGAAACTGTGTAGAAACGTGTTCTCATCCTCCCTACCTTCACCACTATCTCTCCCATCCTTTTTTTAACCATGTCCCTCCTCTCTCAGCTTGAAAAGATGCTGGAGCCCCAGGTGTGGCGAGAAGCAGCCACCCAGGTCTTCTTCGCCCTGGGGCTTGGCTTCGGTGGGGTCATCGCCTTCTCCAGCTACAACAAGCAGGACAACAACTGTCACTTTGATGCTGCGCTGGTCGCCATTATCAACTTCATCACCTCTGTGTTGGCCACACTGGTGGTCTTCGCAGTGCTGGGCTTCAAGGCCAACATCATGAACGAAAAGTGTGTTGTTGAGTGAGTACTGATCACCACATACACAAAGGTAGCAGAACCCAACAATGCAGCTCGACACGTAGACACATTCCCTCTTTAAGGCACACTTACCAGTCTCAATTTCCCAGTCTCCCTGGGATGTAAAACATGCATCCCTTAAACTTCTTAAAACCTTAAAATGTTTTAGGAAACCACATTCCAAGCCAACACCATGTCTTTAGAAATACCTTAAAATATTTCTGAACAAATGCCATTATACTTGGACTTTGATGGCAAAAAATCGACTCTTTGTCTCTACACTGCAGGAATGCAGAAAAAATCCTGGGTTACCTAAACTCCAATGTGCTAAGCCACGACCTTATCCCACCCCACGTCAACTTCTCCCACCTGTCATCAGCTGACTACGCAGAGATGTATGGTGTGATAAAGACTGTGCGTGAGGACGACTTTGAGCAGCTGGGTCTGGACGCCTGCCTGCTGGAAGATGAGCTCAACAAAGTAAGCTTTCTCCACGTTTGACTCAATATGTTAACATTTCAATGAAAAGACTACATCTTCTTTCCTTTGGAACATGACCTCAGCATGGTTTGTCCATGCAGCATCAAGTGGGAAAACAGATCATATCAAATGTTTTGTCCTGACCAGGGTAACATGTCCTGCATCATGTTATATTGCTAGAGGGCGAAAATTCATCTTCTGGGGCACATGACTGTTTGCAATGATTTACTCAATAATGGGGAATGTGTGCAAGTCTGAGGGAGCTGGAAAAATACAGTAGTATTATAGAACACAACAATATTTCTGGGAAGCGAGGGTTCTGCAAGCCCCATGCATGATGTTTCTAGCATTAGTGGAGTGGAGTGGAGTAAGAGACAGAAGTGGATCGATACTGAAAGAGCTAGACTCTTTATAGTGTCTTACAGGCTGCTCCACAGACCTTATACAGTCTTTGATGAAAAAATTGAAAAACAATTGTGTGCAATATAGGACACCATGTTAAAAACAAGAAACTGTGAAATCAGTTCATAGCAGAGCAACCAATCTATTCTGAGCTTTAAAGAAATGCCCTACAATGACAAGACTAAATAAATGAATATTTTTAGAGCTGAGAAAAGAAGACGACAGGGAATCTAATTAAAGCAATAAAAACCCTCAAAGTGACTAACAAAGTCAAACCAATGGATTTCTTCAGTGAAACATGAATGAAGTGGAGATGTTGAAGTGTATTTAAAACTAAGATGAGGAAGCACTTTTTCACATGAGCAAGCTATGCAGGCAGTTATTGAACCTGAGAATTTCAGTCAAGAAATGGTTGAATGAGCTCTGTGGATCAATTACTTACAAGGAATTAAATGGGGTAGATCAGCCAAATGGCTTCCTTTCTTGTGTAACCTTGGCCATGTTCTTCTGTTCTCTTTCTTGTGCTTGCTCCGCAAAAGGCAGTGCAGGGCACAGGTCTGGCCTTCATCGCTTTCACGGAGGCCATGACTCATTTCCCTGGCTCTCCACTCTGGTCTGCCTTGTTCTTCTTCATGCTCATCAACCTGGGCCTTGGCAGCATGATTGGGAACATGGAGGGTATCACCACACCCATGGTGGACACGTTCAAAGTGCGTAAGGAAATCTTCACAGGTGAGATACAAGAAACTTCCTTTAGTACAATTTTCCCCCACATGCTGGGACCAATGTTCTATCTAATCAGATGCAAACCAGGCGGACTTTAACTTCACAAACATGGCGTCATAGAAAGCTGCCTCTCAATATCCATGCTGACAACTCTGCATCCTGACAAAGCTTCAGAACATCCATGATTCCACAATTGGCATTTTTCCTCAGTTACTGTTCATCATTATTTTTGTAAAGATTAAAAACTAGCACAACTTGGGTTCCTTAAGTCCACATTTTACCTGATTCAGCCAGGAGGAAGCTAACTCTGGTTTTTAAATCCAGCTGGGTTTCTAGTTTTATTTTTAGATGCTCTTTAAGTTGCTTCACTAGACAAGTAACTCTCTCAGGTTAAAATGAAAATGTCACACGCCTGTAGAAGCTGGTTTTTCCTAGTGTCCTCCTCAACATTAACCATACCACCCATCCTTCTTTTCCTCTCTTATCCAGTTTCTTGCTGTCTTGGGGCCTTTTTCTTTGGACTGATTTTTGTCCAGCGTTCAGGGAATTATTTCGTCACCATGTTTGATGATTATTCAGCTGGGCTGCCACTGACCATCGTTGTAATTCTGGAAAACATCTCTGTTGCTTGGATTTATGGGACCAAGAGGTAGGTTGAGGGGTCTAGGAGTTTTTCCACACAACTAGTCAAAGTCACTCATGCAACCCCAAGAGAAAATGAAAAGTATAAAAATATAATTTAAACTTTGTGTGCACAGTACTTCCAGAAATCATTTTTCTTCAGAGTTGTGCACATTGAGCACACTTATTGTTTATTCAAAAACAACTAACAGAGACCATATTTGACTGTGTTAAACAAACCAATGGCATGGTCACTTTAATCTGAAGGACAGCACAATAAGGCTACAGGCTTAGTTGAGCCAGTATACAGTACTGTTACGACCCCACGTGTCCAGGGGTAAAGGGGTGTAACATTCAGGATGGGTTTGGATGCAGGTGGGTTTCTGGTGAGGGACTTAGGAAGCATGACAAGTTTGATGCAAAGCTGATTAAGTGACTGGTACATATACAGGACACAATAACACACAGGGAAAAGAAACTTGAGCCATGCCAAAAGGACAGAAAATAACAAAACCAAAGGGATCTAGCTAATACAGTGAGGACTAACCTAACCCAAACACAAATCAATAGGGTCTTCGGCATCTTCACTTCCCTACACTGAACTGACCAGAACCACAATACACGAGCGGCACACGCCCCTAACCTAGTAGGTCTAGACAAAACAAACCTACGTGTGCACAATGCAATCCGACGACCTTACCTATACATTTTCCTCAGGTGTACAACAAGTTCACAGTTAACAATAACACGACACGAGTGAACCAATTGCACGATTATGGGAAAACGGGTAATACCGAAGAAGATACACGAGCAAGGAATAGGGTAACAAATGAGCACAAGCAAGGTGAAAAGGAAAGTAACAGATGCAGGCAAGGTAATAACAAAACAAACAAAGGAAAGTAACAGATGCAGGCAAGGTAATAACAAAACAAACAAAGGAACGATCAAACGCGAACACGAGCCGAAGCAAACCGAAGATGAGCAAAAAGCTTGACCGAAGTCGGAAGCTGAAAAGCCAAAAAGCTCTCAAGGCCGGCCCTTCTTCGGTATTTAAACTATAGATCTTGGGTTCTGATTGGCCGGGAGTTGGTTGATGACGTCACAACCGGGGGGGGGGGGTACATGAATATAGGAAGCGAAAAAAAAAACCACTGACACGCACGGGGACGTAACAGTAACATTAGTGGTAGAACTGTTCACAACTCCTGCTTTAACCATTGAAGTACCTAGACACTGCACACAACACCTATGCCTTTTGCAATAATAATGCCTTATTTTCAATTACAGTACTAGTACTATATCTAAATCTCTTGGCCTGACAGCTCCTTTACAGTTTCAGTCCTCTCTATGGATTTAGTGTAAGTTCTGGAGTTTACTGTAAATGTAAATGTCCTCTGACTATATAACACTTTGCCCATTTCATTGTGGCCAGGTGCCATCAGAACAAATAAGTTACTGCTCAATGCAGAATGTAAAATAGACCATACAATCTTGGCAAAAACTGGTATTTCTGATTGAGATTTCTGTGAGCTTCCCAGTGGTCTAAGCTTTTCTCTTCCGTTGTTTCCGTCTGACAGGTTCATGCAGGATCTGACGGACATGCTCGGCTTCCGTCCCTATAGCTTCTACTTCTACATGTGGAAGTATGTCTCCCCGATATGCCTCTGTGTGCTTGTCATGGCCACCATCATAGAGATGGCGATCAGTCCCCCAGGGTACAACGCCTGGATCCAGGAGCTGGTCAGTGCTGATCTGAACACCTTACTTCAACCAGAAAAGACAAATTCCAATATTCTTATTTTCTTCTGCTAATTTGTCATTTTTATTTTTAGTTATGGGTTGGTGTAAATATGGGGATTCTGTATTAGTCACAATAATAATGTAACTGAGTAAATATTTCAAATATCGCAACACCAGCTTCTTTTCAAGTTCTGATAAATACATATGAAGTTTAGTTAATTTCCAACACCTTTTCATACTCTTTTTATTGAAAACAATGCTTTTTTACTCTTTCCCATGCCTCACTCTCTCTTTCTCCCTGCTCTGAAATCCTTCCAGGCGAGTGAACGCTTCCAGGGCTACCCTCCCTGGGCACTGGCCATGTGTTTCACCCTGATCGCGGTGGCTATGCTGCCCCTCCCCATCGTCTTCATCGCCCGGCAGTTCAACCTAGTGTCGGATGGCTCCAACAAACTGTCCGTCTCCTACAAGAAGGGCTGCATGATGAAGGACATGTCCAACCTGGAGGACAATGACGAGACCCGCTTCATCCTCAGCAAGAACCCCAGTGAGGCGCCTTCCCCCATGCCTACTCACCGGTCCTATCTGGGGCCCGGAAGCACCTCTCCTCTGGAGATGACCAGTGCTGCGCCCAACAGCCGCTACGGCACGGGCTACCTGATGGCCACCACACCCGAGTCCGAGCTATGATTCCCACAGGCAGGTCAGCTTCTTCCTTACAAAGAGTACCACCATGCCATAGGGTTCCTCATACCTTAACCACAGACACTAACTTGTAGTTGAAGAGGAGACCTCAAAACCTGGAGCCAAGGGCCTGTCTCTGTCTCTGTCTCTTTCTCTCTCTCTCTCTCTCCCTCTCTCTCTCTCTCTCCCTCTCTCTCTTAGCAGCTTCATGGAGTAAATCTTTAAAAAGTCTAGATTAAGGCTGTACCTAGACTGAGAGAGTTGTGTGCAACTCTGCTCTCACAGTCTAGAATCCTTTTGTGTTTGTGGGGATCTATCAACTGGTAACTGCTTTAAACCTGCAAGTAAAATGCTAATTAGACCCACTTAGCTCCAAGCAAGAAACATGACAGATCACTTCACCCAAAAAGGCAGTGAAGAATAGGACTGGTTAAAATAAATGACAGAAAGAGAGAGACAGGTAAGCTACTGGGAAGCTAAGGTTTTTGTGCTGTACTGCTTCATCTTCAACCCAGGTTAGAGCTAAATCACGCCGCTCCTGATAGGTTTCAACTGCAATGTCAAGCCAGTGCAGTACAGGTTAAGGTGTCTGAAACACTACAATGCTTTATACTGGACAAGATTCAAAACAATAATGCAGTATATTTTTGTAAGGGTAGCTGAAGCAGAAGAGGGCCAAAAAGCAGATTATGGAAGAAAAGAGGATGTTTAAATCCTGTTTTCTTTTTCCCACAAACTAAAGCTGTAATATACAGTAGAGTAGGTAGGAAAGTATGTGTTATATAGTAGGAGACTCAGATAAAAGCGGTTTTTGCTTTTCTATTCTGCTTCAGGGAAAAGCTTCATTAAGTTGCCCCATTGAGCTAAAATAGTTTTTAGAAGGCAGGCCTGATTGTGAAGGAAAGCATATGGAGTGTTAATGTGCTGTCTTCCACAGTGACAATTATTTTCCAAATATCTGTTTTTCAGTACCTGTCTAAAAATGCAATTCAAGTTTCCATCCATCCATCTAACACCTCTCCTGGGTTCACATTCACAAGTAATAAATATTTGGCCTTTAAAAGTACCTGGTTATCAAGGAGCCTGGCCTTCCGTATTAAGGCCTAAGCTGAAAACTAAAAGTCTTGAAGCATGTTGACTGATCGTTAGAGGCAAAGGCTGTCTATACTGGAAAACATTAAAGTCAAAGAATCTTTAGATTTACATAAGTTTCATGATTTAACACCAGCTGTCATTCTAGACAACAGTGCAGGTTTTGAGGGGAGATCAAACATCACACACAAGAACTAATTAATTTAAGACCAATTTAGTATAGTAGTCTAGCATGTCAACATTTCTCTTGGAGAACTTTTTGGACATGATCTGCAGTGTCATGTCTATTAAATCCTGCTGTCTTCCTCTGGTTGGTGGAAAGGGCACTGCTATTCTATGGATACAGACATCCTGCACAACAGCATCTCAAACCCTGTTAAGCAGTAGTTGCACTTTGACACAATATGGAGACAAGTCAGCCACAGAAAAAGCAGCATGAATGCCAGGGCAGGAAAATTAGGAACACTATTGACTACTGTGCAAACCATTTCAAGCAATCTTGTTGGAATAATGTCTGCAGACATATGGAGTCATTACAATACATCATTAAAAAAACTTATTTTAATATCTACACCTTTCTCAAGTTGCATAACAGAAAGCTTTTTGTTTTGTGCAACAAATTAATTGATTGTACATGAAAGAACCTGCTAAATGAAGAGCTGGAATGGAGATGAGCCAGTGGCTTAAATACTGATTTAATAAGTTTAATTCAATTTCCATTTAAAATTGTTCATTGAAAATAATTGCAAGATAAAGACTATGAAAACACAAATGTTCCAGAAACAAATCACCACGCTTGCCTTTAGCCTTTTACGTTTGATTCTTTATTTAGTAAAAGACATTGATATTTCAGTTGTTGATCTCCTACTATGTAACAAGTGTGTTAGAATAATATTCTAGTATTACATTGTGTAGGGCTTATTATATTGTAATTATCTATATTTGTAAGTGCAGGAGAAAAGGACTGCAGTCATAACTCCTGTTTTAGTTTAACAACTGTGTTAACTCGCACATACACCATCTGCCGTACAGGCACACTGCTATGGTAAATTAATAGGAAAATGTTAAATCATTAGGTAGTGAAGCACATGCTTAATGTATATGATAACCTTTTAGCCTGGAGCTGGTACAAAACTAGTTCTGCATAACAAGGCAAAACCCTTTGCATTCTATAGGCTTCAGAGAATCGTTAGGAAAAAACTGGAGCCAGGGACAATGTAAGCACGGACTGTGGTTGATATTCATAAAACAAACCGAAAAAAAGAGTTTATTAACAGAGCGCTCGTGATTTTAAAACGTAATGTTTTTAGATTGCAGCTTGCTTCCGGTTTAGTGTTGTGCATTTCTATAGCAGATATATTTTTCACTTGTGAGGAATAAACAATTTTTTCTCAGAGAAAAGAGGAAAATTCCTCAGGCTGCTAAGGATCAGTGAATTGCAGGTAATTTACCAAGACGGGATCACTTGATTTTCTTTACTTCACTCAAAGCTCCTGGGGACACAAAGGAGGCTTAAGATGTAAGATCTGAGTATGTTTTGAATCTGAACTCTTTTTAAAACAAACACATGTCTGCTTCTGAGAGCACAGACATTCGATGAGTAATAAGCATACAAAAATACACACTCCTCTGCAGACAAAACAGAGCATTGTGAAAACAACAAAGGCTGTGTATAAAGGACACCAGACCTTATAACATTCAACTTCAGAGAAATTTATTGTGTATGCTAGCAGAGGTCATTTTTCTTGTAGGAATTTTTAATGTATATTTATTTGGGGTAATACCTGTAGACATACTGTACACTTTATACTGGATTTCATACAGGTGTTCTAGCACTTAGACCATCATATTTATATTTAAATATAATTAAATTATAAACTCAGTGGCAAATTATATAAGTCATTTTAACAAGAATTAAGGAGAAATTATTAGTTTATGGGAAATAACATGAAAAACAATTATTAATGTCTGCATGATATGTCAAACATTGGACATGCTGAAAGATATAGTATACAGTATATTGTGCATGTACAAGTGATTATAAAAAGTTACTCTTCAACAAGGCATATTCAAGCACATATATTTCAGTCTGTGTCATGGATCGACAACATTGGTTCTTTTCACATGCTCCACTCAAAGATTTTGGGTTATCCTAAATTATTGACGTGATCCCCAGCAAATGGGTCAATTAAGTGTTTACTGTATACATCAATTCAGTAATTAAACAAATAGGTGGGGTTAAAGTCTGCAAGTGTCAAGTTTTCCTGATCTTGTTCCAGCCAAGTTCTCTCTTCTCTCTAGTAGGGGGTATCAGCAGGTTTAGAAAGAGGGTGTGCAATTAACACGTACTGACAGTTTTGAATGTGATAGAGACAGGTCCCTGATTATTTCAGTATTAACAATGGAGAGGAAAGGGATTTCCACAGCAATGGAAACAATCCTCTGAAATGGCCTGTTAATAAACTCTTCAAGCTGAGTAAATCACACTAACACTGCCCTGCTTTATGAACAACACAGTCCTGCTGGGGGTGTGCAGATCATCTGCCAAAGGACCCAAAGGGAAAGCTTACATGAAGGAACAGCACAACTCATGCAGCTTGTGTACTCAAGCTATTCCTCTAAGGAGTCTATTGAGAATCATCTTCATTTATTTGCTAGCAAAAGTATTTTGCAGCCGTTACAGAAGGTATTGTGATAAAAACCAGCACAGCGAAACTTTCAATTGTAAAGATGAACGGCTCCAAATAACCAGCTTTTGCTAAAAGCAAGGTATTGAACTGCACCAGCTATTCAGGTAAAATCAGGCTCATATGTAGTCCAGCCAGGCCTGGATTTATGTGAATTTAAGGGAAGTGAGTGACAGCAGGAGTCTATTAGTAAATCAGGAGGCTATATGTGATTCTCCAAGATGACATGGTTCAGCTCTGCAATATGTAAAAATACTGAATGTGTTTCAAAAGTATATGAATATAATGGAAACTTTGCCTCTTAAAATATGTCTTGAATGCTTACATCAGGGGTGCAATATTTACAGTTAGTAAAATGGGCTAATTAATGATCAGGGTCTACCTAAAAGACAGGTACCTCCTAAACCTTGATATTCTGCACACCTCTGACTACTATTTACCTTGCTCAGGTAACTGAAAGCATAATTCTCATGAAGCACAGTTTTGTATGGGTGCCTACAATAATAATTTCAGTTAATTTGAAGCCCAATAGTTTAATCAGACACAATGGTATGGAAACGTAAAGTTTTGCTACTTATAACACTAACAATTCCTTGTATTTATATAGAGCTTTTCATCCCAAATGTCTTAAAGAGTAATGCATAATCACTTTGTGCACTTTGCTATGGGCAGAGGCACTGGAATTACTGTGCCACTCAATTACACGTGATACATGGACAGGAATGCACAGCTTCAGTCCTGAAGACGTGCGGCAAAGCAAGTCTTTCAGTTCTGTTTAATTGTCCAGCACCTGAAGTTAAAGTGGTCAAATTAATCCAACATTCAGATCAATTAAGCACTTAAGATGATTCCATATAAGGATCCTCATAAATATGGAATTAAAACTTGCAAACACAGCAATCCTACAAGATTGCAAATGTCCTCCCCTCAATTAAGGGTAATGTCTCACATTACAAACTGAAGCATTTCCTGTTAAATTAATCAAATCCCTACAATGTGAAATGAAACAAGTCAGTGCACAACATAAAAACAGTATATATATATGTAAGTGTACATACTGTAAATATATATTAGATTAAAAGAAACAGTAAAAGCAAATAAGAAGTTTTAGAGAGCACAGATTTATACACAAGCACAAGACCAGCATGGGCTATCCAGCAGCTGCACAATGTAGAATCTAGGGACCACAAGACTTAAAACTTCCACTTAACTGCAAACAGTACATTCCTACAAATGGGTGGAGAGGATCTGAGATTCTCAAGCTCAAAACCCTTTCTTCATAGGTGTGTGTAGACTAACTTAATACAGCAATAAAAATAACCCACATGTACACTGAAAAATAGATAAAAAATCCTGAAAACAGTGCATATGAGAAATTGAAAATGATGGAGTAGGGAAGCACATTAAGAAAATGAGTAGACTATTTCTTTTCCATCCGTATCCCTGTAAACCCCATTGTCTGGTGGCTTTTGTTCCAACTGAGTTCTTGATTTAATAGATTTAACTACTAATGCAATTGTAATCATGTATTTACACATTTTGATGATCCCTACTATGGAGACAAACGAGGATTTAGAGTATTGTGGTGGGGTGCTTAGCTGACGGCCTGAGGTCCTGGTGTCAGTTGTGGCTGGAGCCACACTGAAGCCAGTGAAGCTGGAGTAAGGTTCAGGTAGTAAAGACGGAGATAACCAGGGGCACCAGGGACTGATTCCCTACTAGGCCCCTTGCTCCTCACCTTCTGTCGTGAATGGAAACAATGCCAAGCCCACTGAGCGAGTTTTCAGGAGCAAACCAGAGCAGGAAGACAACACACTGTTCAGAGCACATTCTTATTGGTTGCAGTAGGTTTGGAAAGAAAGTAGCATAGATCCTCTTGCATCATACAAGATATCATAGGATTTTGTTATTTCTTATCTGCCCTTTTACAAGCAACACGAAATATAGCAGAGGTACATTTTCTTACTCTCTTATTTCCTGCTAGGAAGACATGTCTGGTCTACAATCAAAAAGAACAAATCTTTAGCTTCTTTGTTTAAAATCTTAGCATCACAAAAGAAGCCTTTAAATAAATGGCCAATGAAATAATGATTAAGTGGCAAAAAATTCCAGGGTCTCTGCCTCCCTAGCTAGGTCTCGCCCAATAAAAGAAAAACACAATACAAAATTGATGAGTTCCATTTTTTTTTAATTATCGCTTATTGATTTTTTAATGTGATGCTAGAAGCCATGGTAACAGTGATTAAATCAATGACTATATTTCTATTATTGTATATTTAAACTGTATATGTCTGTGTACATTCTGTTAAATTAATAATGAAAACTATCTATAAAAGTGACAAGGTGAATCTTTTCATCCTCTGTGCTGTATATATAAATATCATTGTATATTTGGAGATATTTATATAATTTTTGTAGCCGCCAGTGTAACTTTACCTCCTGGGACTGGTTTGGGGAAAGGGATTAATTATCCTTTAATTTTCAAAGCAAGTGGGGGGGCTCTATTTTCTGGTATTCCCTACAGTGTCGTGTGTATATTATCTAATCTTGTTCTCTTTGTTACTGTGTGGTGTAACAGTGACTTTGGACCACTTGTAAAGCAATTTCTGTTCTCTTCCCAGAGCATCTCTATGACAAATATATACATACTGTATGAATGTACATACTGTACATGGATATATAAATGCTGCAAACAGTACATAATGCTATTGCAATTGTGGTAGTAGGTCTCCGAAAACACAATGTCCAAGTAGGCTACAGTACTCTTCAGTTAAGGCTGTTCCAATTACAGTAGATGACATCATTAAGATTTATTTAGTGGACAGTTTGCAGATGGCCCCCTCTTGATGTAATTGATGTGGACAGTCTGAAAAAGTTAAGAGGGACACGGTACATTTGAGTGAAATGTGGGCATATTCCTAAAGATGAAATTGTTTAACAGGATATTGGTCTTTTCCACTCCTCCAATGTTATACTCGTATCTAGAAATGCACATGAGGATTGCTGTGATTACAAAGGGTTATTCAGCTTTCCAATAGAGTTTTCTCAATGGCAGGAAAGGGTAATAGGGAACAGCTATGCTGTATTACTCTTCTAATCCTACTGCTGCTCATTATCACCAGACTATTCTACATCTTAAAATGTGTCCTTTTTAAAGACTTAGTACAGGTTAGTTCTCACTCCATGCAAACCAATAATTACAAAGCAATGTTATCTCGTAATAATAAGGTGAAATTAAGAACTTAGTCGTGTACATTTCTGCATATTTTGGGGCATTTGTGACATGCAGTAAGCATCACCTGACGGCAGCAGTCAAAGCTGTGCAACAGCAATAAAGTTGAGCAAATGCAGGATGGAAAGAAATGGAGCAGCAGAGAGATGTTGAAGCTGCAGCAGGGAGTGCACTGGGAGGATAGAGCACCTCACTGTGGCCAAAGTATGTAGCGATTTGTGTGGTGTGTGTGTGTGTATTTCCTACTGGTTAAGTGTATTGAGGGGCGTGGCAAAACCCGGATCTGCCATGATCTCTCGCTGTAAATGTTAAAGCACATAATAGTTGTCTTTCCGAATCAAGATGAGTATTCCATAGTTGGTGTCACGATGACTGTACAGTATTTAAACTGCGTGTGAAAACCTGGAACACTTACTTATGGATATCACCAAAAATATCAATAAAGGAAAAAATATTGCTGTTCTTATTCTCGTGTGGTTCTGTCACTTTTATTGTGTTTTCTGACTCCAAGCCACTCCTTTCTATGGGTGAAATCAGGAAGCTTTAGAGCAATGGTGTGCAACTCCAGTCCAGGAAGGCCACAATGTCTTCAGGGTTTTATTCTGCCTGGGCTCTTAATGACCAAACTGAGTTAATCGTTAGTTTAATGGGATCAATGTAACACTTGCCAAGGGTCTTCTACTGCTGTTGATTTGAAAACACTGAGAAAACCTGATGGAATGTGGCTCTCAAGGATTGTGTTATGCTCTATAATATTCATGTATAATATGTACATATTGTTCAGGATCATAATGTCCAGGATCTTGTCAAAAATAGTGTCACAAAAACCATTAAACACCAAAGCTCAGAATCTACTAAAAGCAGTCAATCTGAAATAAGTAGATGAACTGCGTTAACAGGAGCAAATAAGAATATGATTCAACAGCACAGCAAAACCTGTTGTTTTTCTAAATACACATACGGAAAAAATAAACCTTTAAAATATGGTTAGAGATTACTGTAATAGACTCAAATTCCATTTTCTTGATTGTGACAGTAAGAAGTATGCATTTCATCAGTTAAGAGGTGAGTGTTTTAAGTTTTACACAATTAGACACTTAAAAGATACAAATCATAAGCTGTATGATGCTTTCTTTCATCTTTTACTAACAAATAAAATAGTAAAATAGATTACTTGCTGTATGACAGCAGCCCTACACTGAACTTGTTAACAACTTCGCATGATTTTCATGTCCGATATTTTCTAAAGAGATGTTTGATTAATAAAAGTGGCAATAGGGTAGTTAGGGAAAATAATGCATTGTGTTATGTATGATTTTATTGTCTAAAATTGTCTAAACGCTTTGTGATTCAAGGGATGCCTTGAATCCTAAGCTCACCAGTCAGGCCTGGCAGGCTACAATTTTTGGAACCAATCAATACACTGCACGAAAGCAATGAATATTACACAGCAGTGGATTTTACACAGGGCAGCATGCTGCTGCAGTGGTTAGCATGTTTAAAACTTCATTAATACCCCAATTAAAAGAACCCCAGTGTCCTGGATACATTATACCCTGGGCTTGTACAACCTGGCCGCACCAAAGTTCAACTGCTGAAGCACTTTCTCACTTCTCCTGACCTGATATATGTATAATGAGCCTGCTGTGGCAGAATACCCATCATGCACCCCCCTCTACAGTCGTGAGTGATGTAGGTCCCACCCTATATGCAAGTTCTTTAGGATTCTAAGGGATAAGAAGTACTATAAAAATACAATTCTTCACTTTTATTGTGTTGCAAATACACAAAAAATCCTAGATCAATGTTTGAAATGCTCAGACAGTATACCAGCTTGTTATTGTGTATCCTAAACCTTCTTTTACTAGCAATGGAAATTGATGATTTCAATGACTGAACCCATGTTTTAAATGTGTATTTCAGTCTGCAATATACAGTAATCCGCCTGTGCTGGGAGGCTATTCTGGGTTATTTGTGGCATTAAGGACATTATAGTTACTGCAGGATTCTTTCTCAGCTCAGTTCTTTAAAATAACCGGAGAGTTCTCGACTTTTTTCAGCTGTTTAAGGATGTTAAACCTGTTTAAGAAGGTTTAAATGTAGCTGTAAAAATAAGCAACTAGGAATCTGTAATATTCCTGCGGCAGAAAACTACAATAGTAAAGGAGTTCCTCATTAATTATTAGGACAATCAAGCACCAGAAAGTCCAGCTGGAATGTAAATATGGGTCAGAACTAAGAAAACCATGCCTTAATGTGCCACAGCTACAATATTAAAATGATAATCCATAAATACTTTCACTGCCATAGTTCACTTCCAAAATACAGTACAGTTTGGAACTATGGCATCCAACTCAAATTGTTTTATTTCGTAAACCTAAGATAGCACAAGCCAAGATGAATTGCAATAAGGAGACTGCAACACCACCTATTCACTCTAGGTGGAGCATTTTCATACGCAAGAAAAACAGTAAGCAGTTTTCTTCCGGGATTGTTTTGCTCCCAGCACCTATACTTCAGAACTAAGATACCATTTGTCTTCCACAAACACATTAAGAGAAAGATAAGGAACAATTTTGAAATTGTGTATTTATTTCTGTAGCACATGAAAGACATTGCTCATATAAAATGTTTTTTTTAGATTTATTTGGACTATTTAAGATTCAAATGGTCTTCAGTGTTAAATGTCCTTTTATACGTACTCACAAACTGAATGAATATACATAAAAACGGATTCACTAAAGTTCAGAGGGCTAGACAAAACTCATAGTATACTTTTTAATGTTGCTGCAAGCTAGTCTGTCAAGATTCACTCTAGTGCATATCTACTGAACAATTGCGAGTGTTAATTATCCTGTTTGTCCATGGCACCGGCCTCCAGAGTCACCCCATTCCCTTAGCAACCAGTGATACATATTCAAAGGCTTAAATTAGCCTAGGAGTATCAAAGCAAGGCTAAACAATCTGGCATATAACAAGGAAAGTCCTAAAACACAAATGAGAATGGATCACCAGACATGTATGTTTCCATATATATGAACACATTTTTAAAAATGTGTTTTTGAGAATCACAGCAGCCACCTGTGATAACCTATACAGACCCCTAATACAGAACATGTTCAGATTTCAATTTTAGAAACCTGGATGAATGTGGAGTGGCGTCTTAAAACCTCTGTGAGGTGCTGCTTCCACAGAGTCGTATTCAATGTTTTCATTTGACTTCCTGTCTTAATGCAGAGTTTTTGACAGGGGCGTTCAAGGAAGAGACACACATCCTGAATGGTTCTACACACTTGTTGTTCAGGGGAAATGCAGCCTGCTTGATAGATGAACTCCTGACAGAACTCTGCTTGCATTCAATAAAGTCCAGAGAAGCCGCACAATTTGATAAAGGACACAAAAGACAAGTGTCCCAAAAATAAGGAGCTATTTAATACTAACCCAGTGCTGGCAAAGCATCTACTTTTGAAAACGTCTCATACCCAAACTTTACTTTTGTGTTATATTTCACCAGCTTCAGCTTATGTTGTTTTGAAATCAAAGGGCTAATCTTTTAAACGGTCTAGCCACCCTAACTACGTCTTAACATGTATACTGACCAAGAGGACCAAGTCTGTTCCACTTTTGGCCTTGAGGGTACTCATGGTGTATGAACAAGGGAGTGATACAAATTACTAGTGAGATAAAATCCTTAATTTAACATTTCAGTGAAGAAAAGGCAAAGAAAGGGAACACAGACAGGACAATAAAAGGTGTTGGCTGGAGTGGGGAGGTGTGGGTACAGTCTCACTCAGGCAAAGAGAGAGATACACATCCACTTTTTGATGCCATTCTTCTTTCTCAGCCTAGATCAACGCAAAAACTAAATAAATACATCACACTCAAAAATGTGTGCTCAAACAACAGAAAAAACAGTTTTAGAGGGGAGGGTGCTGTCAGACAGGGGCTTGCAGAGGTGACCTCTCCAGCGTCTCCTGAGAAACGTGCCGGCGTGTTCTGGGCAGAGACAACCGTGGAGAGGAATGCTGATGACTTTCGCGTGCTTGCCTGTCTCGAAGGCACCTCAGCCCTCCACTAATGTGCCGTGGCTGAGCACTTCGCAAACCTAAATCAGGGGAGCACTGCCACGCCATCTGGGAGAGACAAAGCTGAATACTGATCACTCCATCGCAGACTTCATGCTTAATGTCAGTGCTGACCCCTCCCTGAGATTGGGGCATACCTTTCTGAGAGCAAGACTGAACTAGAGTGTGTGCTTTAGTTGCATTTTTTAACAATTCCGAATAACCACTTATTTCTGTTTTTTTTTTTTTAAATCTGCTAATGCATTTTGGAATCAACAATTCTTATATAACTTGGCTCACTGGCCCTTCCACCACAACAAGATAACTGAAGACTTGTCTTGTCTTGTTCACTCTGTGGCCCTGAAGAGCCACATTTCAGAACGGTTTATAGGTTACCCTTAAGTCATCACATTGCAAAGACATTTCTTTTTGGAATACAAACAAGCACAGGGAGCCCAAGATGCACATGTGGCCATACTATATTGATCAAAACACACATTACAAATTGATGACATAAGGGTGACCTGTAAGACCCACTGGACTGTGGCTCTCCAGGAACAGGACTGGCCACATCTGAACTAAGGCAGCACAGGGAGGTCAGAGGCATCACACACTGTAAGGCTGCACATGTCTCGCAAAGCCTGAGCACAGGCAAACTAATTTGATTCCAATGGTATGATAATGATTGTGGCCCACCCTTTTCAGTCTTTTCAATGTAAATTTACTTGCCCTGATTATGATCGGGTCTATCCACATATTGGATTGTTTTACAAATATTTCAAAAAGTCACAAATACTGTATGTCTAATTGTCTTTTTTCTGTAAAGTATAAATTCCTTGTTAGTATCTAGATTTACTGAAGCACTTGGTGTTTGAAAACAAAGCATTCATTTGCAGTACCGCCTGCACATTCTAGTCACTATTACAGTAATTACCTTATTTTTGGCACACACTAGTGATGTTGCCCAGTAATTTACAGGCCCACAAATATTAATGTGCTCCTTTTTTTCTCTACCATAATGTCAGCTACCTTATACTGTACAACAACTCTTTGGAAACCTAGAATGTTTTATCAACTGCAATATTTTGCAGCTGTATAATACATATTACAGTTAAGAGCATTTCAGCTCAGGTTTTGACAGAAACTCAAACATATAGTTTCTGACTACAAATTTCATACAGTAAGTGTTGCAAATGATGCTTCATAATGGAAAACCTTCTCCTTCCCACTAAGTGTGTGTGGTCTATATTCTCAGAGACGCACTGGCCATTAGAGTCCGATGTAAAGCAATTTAGCTCCAAATGTCAGCAGAAACAAAAAAACAGAGGAAAGATTAAATTGCAGTCATTAATGTGCTGTAACCAACTTATATGAGATCCTTCAAGTGTCATTTGTATGAAGA